TCGGGCAATCATAATTAGATCCGCTTATCATGTTGACTCTTTTTGTTACGTCGTCGACAGTAAAACAATATTTTGAAAAACCAAATGAAATAATAAAAACTTTCTCTTTCCTCAATAAGCTCGGAGGCTTTTTCATAATTTGCGACTATGGCTTTGCTATGCTTATACAATTTCATGTTATTTATATACATAAAAATTCCGATTATCAAATATAAACAAAAGTTGTATCGTGAATTCCAATGTCAAATATTTGAATGTTATAGTCTAAAATAAACGAAGCATACCAAACTCTCAGCAGCATCCTTGCTCATGTCTCTCCTATAAATGTCATCGTTGCGTCATGCAACATAACACAAAATAATATTTTATTTCCTTTTTGTTTCGATTCTCACAATTATTTTTCACTCTCTCACAAAATGCACTGTTTGCTTCTCTTTGATGTGCCTGTTTATATGTAGTACTTTTTTATTGTATCATATGCACATCAAGTTAAATTGAGCAAGAAACAAATTATTATTACAAAAAGATATTTCTTTTCATTCCATTCAAATTCACTTCCGTTTTTAAATTCAAAACTGAATTTTCCTCTTTCACTTATTAAATCGCTAGCAATTTTTCCTGTTGCAATATTTTAAACCTATTTCATAAAAAAAAAATCTTATTGCAACTTTTTCAATTCATTCGTTTCAACTTATCAATTTAATTTTTTTTCTTTCACTGACTGCTGATTGCCAGTTGCATTTTTTTTCTCAAACTAGAAATTTCGATTTTCACACAGATATCCAGCAGTTTTTCTTTTTTAATTAAACCACACCATATATTCCATGGTTCATTGCATTTGAATTTTACTTCATTAATACTTGATTTGGAATGGATTTCACTACAGCATTGGACATCTTTTGGTATTCAAAATCATCCTTTGAAATTTCCACAGTATTCTTGATTGTGAGTCTAAAATAAGAAAAAAAATATTTATATAGTAAATTCTAAGTATGCAATTAGGAATGCTAATAGGTAGTCTTGTATATTAAGACTGTTTATTTATTTAAGAAACGTTCGCCAAAAACTGTTATTCCAATATAAAAGAGCAATCAATTCTGGTGTACAGTTTTTGAAGAGCGCTACATTTTTAGATCTTATTAGAATGTTTGGATTTCGCATTTTTTGAACAGATTTTAAATCCAAGGTTATTCACATATAAAAGGAAAAATTGGATTAAACCTTGAATGTGAACTTTGTTAAACTTAAATTTATAACTGTATTTTGAGGAAGCAATTTTTTCATATGTAATTCTCTGAGTGAAACTTTATATCCGTTTGATAATGAATGTGAATGCACCTCAAAAACGGTAATGAAACCAGACACATGACAATCAAGATCTTGATAACTTGTTTCGATATGAAGTATGAAAATATCTTTTGTCCTCCTTGCAATTGAATAGTTTAAAAGAAAGTATGCAAATCTGTTTATGAAGTTTTTACCATAAAATGCAAGATTTAATTTTGAGAAAGAATTATTGGGCATTTTTGCTGAGCTCTTAGTTTGCTTTATAATTACTCAATTTAAATCAATTCACTTGCAAAAGCTTTATAGATAAAAATTACTGAATATTGCTTTACTCTTAGAAATCACAATCAACAATTTCCAACTCCAAGCTGCTCCAAGCAAAATACTTTCGGAATATTAAAAAAGCAGACAGCTTGTTTGATTTCAGTAGTTCTGAAGTTGAAAAATCTCAGTATATCATGTTTGGCATTTAAATGAATTAATGTAACAAAAAACAAAATACGTGATTTTTCAAAAAGAATGCATAAATTTAAAACATTGGTGACAACTCACAGTGCAAATTGAAATTTTAATTTTAAATTAGAAATACTCTCACATATATACAATTATTCCGAATACAATGAAAATGTGACTTTGGCTGTTTTTTTCCTACACTCCAAGGTTTTTGACTAATTATATTTGGTGGAGATCAGAATCTTTTTATGATTTTAGTAGATATTAAATTTTTTAGTCAAAAGTTTCAATTAAGCTCTTGGGATGTGAATTTAGCAATAATTATAAAACTTGATGTATAATAGTATATGCGCGGGCGACGTGACGATGACGAATATAACTAAACTAATAGTGAGATGAAAAGTATTATTATGAAAAAGTGGGCGCTTAATACTTCCATTGTATTTTTGCAATGCTCTTAAATATACAAAATTGAATTTTTTTTTATGCAAAAGTTGATTGATTGATTGATTTGGTTTTATTATCCCTCTCGGGTAGTTAAGCATAAAAGCTAAGAACATCATACATGTTTCGATATATATAAAGTTGTTTAGTGAACATTAATTAATTAAAGGCAATACAAATTGCAAATGAAGTATGATAGTGGATAAAATAATGTACGTACACGCACAAAGTTGGTAAGTAGCAAAAAAAGAAAATATTTAAAATAGCAGTAATAAACTAAGTATGGCAATATAATATAACGTGTCAATAAAATTTGAATTTAAGCATCTCGTTGATTAAGCTGATTTGAACAAGTTGTTTACATCCAGTTTGCAGCCCCTCAAAAAGATCAATTTATTTTCCAAAAGAAAAATTTTCAATTTTCGTTTAAATAAATTAAAGCTTCTAATCTCTCTTAATTTCAGAGGCAACTGGTTATATACTTTTGGACCAAGGCAATTGAGATCATTCGCCAGTACAGCTTTGCGGAAAAAAGTTAATAATCTTGGTTATGGAAAATGGAATTTTAACACTTATTAAATCTTTTTTACTTCCTTTTCGATTTCATTTATTTTCTAAATTTTAAAAAGCCATAATCATTTCAGCAAACAATAATGTATATAGATATTCAATTTCCATCTAATCGTGTTTAAAAATATTAACAAGTAAGTCCAGAAGTGATGCAGAAAATAACGAATTTGAACGAAAATTATTTTCAGTAGGTTAAAAAATTAAACATAGAAAGTATTTGAGCCTTGATCTAAATAAATTGAGTAACAATTGTTGCACTAGCCTGCAAAGTAGAAGGCACTACACGAACTTTGCAAACAAAAATTGAGATTTCCCTTCATCAAAGTTGTATGTCCAGCAAATTGTACCTGAGAAGTTATTCAATTATGAGCAAAAACTATGTCTGTAGCAGCTAAGATTTCCTTGTTAATAAGCGGACAAACAAGTAAAGCGACAAACCACAAGTAATGAGTACATGAAAATTTCATTTCATTTGAGTAATTACATTCAGCATGAGACAGAAATAACAGTTTCATAAGAGGAACATCTTGTGATAAATGAAATTATTAAATAATTAATTTTGCCATAAAGTCATACAGTTGCTGAATGTGTATGCGAATTCACTTCATCAATCATTTATTTTTTTCCACACTAGTATTTTTCGCTCAAAGTTATTATTTTATTTCGTCATTTCGCATATTTTGCTTCTCTTATTCTTCTCATTCCTCTTCTTTGCCTTTATTCACCACACAACATGAAATTAAAAATGACGTGCGGATGCAAGATGTAGATTTTTTTTTCTAGGCTAAATGTATAGAAATTACTGCGTTCCCATCATGAAATTTATAAAGCAAATACAAATTCACAAGATGAAACTTATTTCGTAACCAAAGGCACAAGTAAAGATGTTGCCATATATATTTTAGCATCAGCAGTAGCAACATCAAGCCATTGCCTAATCATTCTGCTATGAGCTTATAAATAAAGATGATGGTGATGAGGTCTGTTTGTTTCACTCTCACGTTTAAATGAAAAATCTTTATTCCATATGTGATTAATGTTGTGTGTGAAAAAAAAATTTGTATATGTGAAAAATTTAAAGTTTCACTTCGACATGCATTCCATATGATTTCTTAGGAATTTTCACTTGAAAACAAAAACGCAAAGAAATCGAAACGCGAAAAAAATTATAATTTTAATTCCAATTTCAGTTATTACCTTCTTGTGCACGTACAAGGATGTTTATGAATCGCTAAGTTTTTAAAATTTACTTCTTATTTAGTGCTTAAAGGAATTTTCTCACTTCTTTTGTGACACTTTTTCCAGCTTTAAACAATTTTTTTCAAAAAGCAAGCACTCGCAAAAATCACGCACGACTCAGCTACTTTGCTTTCCAAAAATCAACTGAATGGATTTTAATGGTAAACAAGACAAGAAAGAGGTGCAAAAACCTGTTTTTTTTACTCTCTACCTTATGTGTACTTACTGTACACATCAGCAGTGGAAAAAATACAATGTTGAAAAAAAAATACTTTAAAAAACAAAACTATTTACCAATACGCCTAAAGTTAATAAATACATTCTTATGTTTCTCTCTTTTGTTATTATTTCACAAAAATGATCAATGAAAATTACAAAATTTTAATATATGGTTACAAGAGACGCTTTAAATTCACATTTCTTATGAAATAGTTTCATAGTCAATTTTAGATTTTTTGGTAGGAGCTGAAATGATCATTTAACTATCAAGATAGGGCCATGTTGTCACTCTATCGTTAACATTTTATTGCAACAGTGTCGTTGTGGTTCGAGTGTTGGCCAATCAACCATAACGATCCGGGTTTGATCAGGGAATGTTTAGTCGGATTTGGGTGTTTTTTTCGCTGTTCTAGTCATGGCAACTCGGTTTGTATGATTTGAGACATGCAAACTGTGGCTAGGGTCTTTGTTTTGATATACCTTGTGTCAATGCAATTGTGCAGAGTTGCAATGCTTCGATCATCATCAATGAATTATTTCAATTAATTATATCATAACAGATAATTGCAGATAATATCTTATAAAATACTTTTTGGTCAGTCAGACATAAATAAAGCAATAGCTGAGGAAAATATTCAATATCAAAATCAACAGGTAAGACAGGTTTTCTATTTTTTTTTTCTCTTTTACAACTACATTTGATCAAGTTTTTCAGATTTTGTTTGTATGAGTGTTAAATTTAACAAAAATATACAATCATGATCTTATACCGTTACACACCACACTATCCAACTTTCCAACAAGAATTAAATCATTTTGATGAAGAATTTACTAGTTGGCTATTGAATTTTGTGCAATTCTGAATGAAAAAATATGGGGACAGAGATGAAAGCACCAGAAAATTGTGAAAATATAATCAGAAATAGAAAACAAAAAAGTGCACAAGTTGAAAATTCAGAAAAGTCGGCAAAAGTTCAAACAAAGATAACAGAACAAATAGAAAATAAAGGAGAAGATATAAAAAAATCAAAAGAACTGAAAAAGGCCGCAGAGAATCCAAAAAGTAATGAAAGATTAATTCAACATGAATCTGAAGTAACCACAAATCACAACAGCATCTCAAACTTTACAATTAAAATTGAATTTGATCCTATGTCCATCGCTCTGTTTACTCTTGCCATCGTCACAAGATTTTTTCGATTGTCAGAGCCTCGAAAAATTGTGTAAGATGAGAGATAATAAAATATTCATTTCATCCTCTGTGTATCTCTTTAAGAATCATCGTTATTCTTTTTTTTTTCGATTTTCAGCTTTGATGAACTCCATTATGGAAAGTATGTTTCCCTTTATATGAAGAATCTATTTTTCTTCGAAAAACATCCACCTTTGGGAAAACAACTTATTGCTGGTGTTGCACATTTTGCTGGATATGATGGAAATTATACATTTAATAAGATCGGAAGCGAATACTCGGAGGTGTGATTAAAATCTTATATTTTTTTTTTATATTAAGTTGTTTCAAAATTTTTAATATATTTTTTTTTCTATTTTAGAATGTCCCAATATTTTGGCTTCGTGTTGTCCCAGCCCTATGTGGAAGCTTATTAGTACCTGTCGTTTATAATTTGCTATTACAACTAAAAATTAACAGATGGGTAGCATCAATGGGTGGATTACTAATTGTTCTGGGTAACATTGACTATTAGAACTTTTCATCTTGTCATTAGAAATTACCTTTTATATTTATTTTAGATAATGCACTTTTGACACAATCCAGATTCATATTAATGGAACCAATGCTGTTAATCTTCTCTACCTCAGCACTTTTATTCCTCTTGAGATTTCTCGATAGTCAATATTTTAGCATTAAGTGGTGGCTTAATGGTATCCTTGCTGCCTCCTTCTATTCATTTTCAATGAGTATAAAATATGTTGGGTTCTATTCATATGTACTCGGCATGATTCTTATAGCACGACATATATGGAGTGAATTAAGGGATCAAAATTTATCGGATATTAAATTATTTTTTAAGACATTTATCAAGGGACTGATCTTAATCGGTCTTCCGATTGCAATTTATCTTTCAATATTCTATATTCATTTATATACTCTATATCGTGCTGGGCCACATGATAGTGTGATGACAAGTGCCTTTCAGGCATCACTTGAGGGAGGTCTCGCATCAATAACACATGGACAGCCACTCAAAGTTGTTCATGGATCACAAATTACGTTAAGGCATACAAACGGTCGACCATGTTGGCTTCACTCACATGCTGACGTCTATCCAGTCAAGTATGAGGATAAGAGAGGCTCTTCTCATCAACAGCAAGTGACATGCTACAGTTTCAAGGATGTAAACAATTGGTGGATTGTCAAGAGGCCCTCAAAGGCAGACTTCTCAATTGGAGATGAGCTAGACGATATAAAACACGGAGATGAAATTCAACTAGTTCATGGATTAACAAGTCGTGCACTCAATTCGCATGATGTTGCAGCTCCCATGTCACCACAATCTCAAGAGGTCTCATGTTACATTGATTATAATATATCAATGCCGGGGCAACTTTTATGGCGTGTTGAAATCTTAAATAAAGAGGAAGAGGGTGATGTGTGGCATGCAATTAAATCACATGTGAGACTTGTTCATGTTATGACGCATACAGCATTAAGATTTACCGGACGTCAACTACCCCAATGGGGATACAATCAACATGAAGTTGCAGCGGATAAAAATTTAAATCATCCTGATTCTGTGTTTAATGTTGAAGAACATCGATATACAAAGTGTATGTGCAACTTTATGAATTCATTGTTAAACATTATTAATATCTTTTGAAAATATAATTTTTAGCATCGGATCAAAAAGAACGTGAACGTCAATTGCTGAAATCTGAAATGATTCCCATGGAGCGAACTCAATTATCATTTTGGCAAAAATTTCGTGAACTCCAAATAAAAATGTTTTGGCAAAGTGAAACTGTACAAAATCACATGTATTCATCGGAACCACTTGAATGGCCTCTTATGTCAAAGGGTATTGCATACTGGTATCAAAAAGACACAAATGTAAGAATGCTAAATTGCTTTTTAACAAACAAATTCATGAATAACATCAGACATAATGTTTTTGCTATTAAAAACTTTTTGACCTATTTTATGCTGAAATACTTTATATTATCACAAATGATATAAACGATCAAAAATTAAGTTTTCATTTCTGTTTGCTTTTAGGCACAAATTCATCTTCTAGGCAACATTGCTCTTTGGTATTCATGCACAATATCTCTTTTCGTTTACGCCGCGCTAATGGTTTTCTACTTACTACGACGTCGTCGACAAATCAATGATTTGAACGAACAGGAATGGATAAAATTTGAAAGCATCGGATGTATATTCTTTGTTGGTTACGTTATCAATTTTGCGCCATATTTTTTCGTAGAACGTACACTGTTTTTGCACAACTACTTGCCAGCACTCATCTACAAAATCTGCCTGTTGTGTGCTCTCATTGAACACGTTTATGACATTTTGAGAAAAATGAATCAGAATTTCATGAGTTTTGTGTACAAAGTTGCAGTTCTTGTTTGGCTCGCTTATGTGTTTCATGTGTTTCAAACGTTTCTCACCATCAGCTACGGTCGCACAAAGTTAACATCGGAGACAATTTTACAGTTGAGATGGAAAGACACATGGGACTTTATTTTCTCATAAAATTGTATTAATACTCACAATTCTATTACATTTAGATAACTTATTAAATAAATAAATGGGAAGGAACAGAAATGTAAAAAACAGACAAGAAAAATAAACTAATTGAAAACTTGTTATTATTTAAATTTAATTCGGTTTTTTCTTCTAAAACTTCAAATTGAATTTATCCTTTAAGACTAATCGACAAATTTGCACACTCAATTTATTGAAACTGGATTTAACTTTAAAAAATTTATTTCACAAAAATACATTTTGTCCATTATTTGTGTGTAAAAAGAGACAGACCAGAGGAAAAAACAGAAAAATATAAATTTACTAATGAAAAGAAGCTGAGAACCTGTTAAAAAACATAAGATTTCACCTGTTGTCCATCATGGGACCTCCCCAAAATAGAAAAGATCGTCATAAAATGACAAAAAACTATAAGAAGTATTGAAACAAATGTAAGCCACATTTCTCCTGAAGCAGCCGTGTACAATAATAATAATCCGTCTAACTTATAGCATGCGACAGAAAACGATAAGCACAGTGAGTTAGCAGAAAAATCAAAGGCAACACAGTTGAAATGAAGGGGCGATCAGCTTATTTTGTGCAACTACGTCCCGTCTGTTTTTAAATGAGCAAAGAAAAAGGCAAAAAAGATATTTTCCATCCAATAGCAAGCTATCTCCCTTCCAATTTTGTTCCAAAAACTGTCTCTTATTATATTTCGGTCCGTAGCAGAGACTTTTTCTACACCAAACATATTAAGCGCACATAAAATAACAGCAACTAGTTTTTCTTTCACTTCATACGATTTGCTGTCTGTGACTTGTTTCAGTTTTGTATTTGAAATAAGTAAAGGAAAAAAATGTTTGTAGTTGTTCCCATAACTGCCACTATGAAAATTTTCGCGCGTTCCATAGGATTGAAAAATGTGTAGACACAGTGTGCAGGAAATTCATTCACTTCAACTGAGCTATCTTTTTCCAATGGGTAGAAAATGTGGAAACATAAATTTTTAACAGACATCAATAAAATTGTGGAGCTGAATTTTTTCTGTATTTTTATTTTAAAAAAAATTTATACAGCAAAAGTTTATCATACTTTTATGAAGGCGCACATACAAGAAAGAAATTTTTTTCAATATTTTATAAAGTTAGAATGAAACAAACCGACATGAAATCAGAAACTACATTTTTCCTTCTTCCTCTTTTCAATTGACTTGAATTATTCGTCTCGTACTGTTTCATTTTAAAAGCAAAGACGAGACGTGAATGAAATGGAAAGAATAATAAAAGAAGATCTATATGTGAGCAAAATATATTCAAATTTATAAGAAACAAAGTATTTGGATACAAAGGAAGGAAATAAGAATTAAGAATGTCATGATGCCCTAGTAAATTTGTTGGTTTTGCTCTCTCATTTTATGAAAATCCGTTTTCCATTTTAAATAAAACAACAAAAAAAGAATAATATTGCTATTGCATGGAATAGGACAGTGCTACATTCTTCCCTTACATACACATTTCAGTATCTAGTCGATTTCTTCTCACTTTCAAGTCTCAAACCTATGTATTGAATGGAAAAATGGCATCGTCTTTGTTCAACTGATTGTAGAAGAAACAAGAAGAAAAAAAAATTCTCAATGGTACTATTCTGTTTCCAGTGTCATGGCTTACAAACATTGTGGCTGTGAGTAACTATTCCAGTTTTCAATTTCTTCTCAATTTTTTTTTTTCGGTTTAATTCCTTCATTTTCATACATGTAAATATTTCAAAAATTGAGTTCAATATTAAGATGGTTGTTGCTGAAAAAGACTTTATTTTTTTGAAAAACATTAAAATATTTCGAGTAAAAAAATAATTTTTTCATATGCTTTACAGTTTAGATGCGAACTTTTTTTTAAAAAAACGACATGATGTTTTGTAGTTGTCATGTTTTTAGACACGATTTGATACAATTTAATTGAGGAATATTCAATTTTAAATTTAATTATTGTTTTAAACTAAGATTAAATCCTGTTTTATGACTTTAGGATCTTAATTCATATAAGATGCCATTTAAAGGTAAACATATTTAATTATTTGATAAATTTATTGATAACCTTATATTAGTAAACTAGAGTTCGTGTAAAATAATCCAAAAATTTCAAAGCATGATGTTTTAACATAAAATATAAATTTAATCTTCTTCAAACAATTCTTTTGAGCTATTAAGATATGTACATTAATGTATGTTTAAATTGGCTAAGAAATCATTAAAACTTATGATCTGTAAGTTAAAAAAGAAAAAAATTAATGTAACAGAAATAATATTTATTCAAACAATAGAAACCACATGATTGCAAGCAAAATCACAACTTGAAAATAAATTCAATGCATCAATAAAATGTATCATCCTGATACAAAGTTTATTAGCAACGATATCAGCAAATTAAATTTATTTTAAAGTTTCATTCATGCCTGTTTATTTCAATGAAAATTACTTAACTATAATTTTAAAAATTTACACGATTGTTCATACATTTGATGATCTTCTGTTCCCTTTGTAGAAATTTATTCTTCTTCTTCTTAAGGTTTTTTAAACTCAAGGAAAAAGAAATGTATTATTTTGTAATTTTGTGGCAGGGTCTTTAAGCATTTAAAATTTATTCAAAGATTAAGGGTTCAGCAGGATAAGAGGATGAAATATTTCTTTAGGTCCACCTCAACTTAACAAGCAATCATCATTGCATTCATTTTAAAACAGATATTATATTAAACATTAATTTTTATATTATTGTTCGTACGACGATTGTATCCAAATTATTTTATAGCAATAAACAAAGCTGCAAAAAAGCAAAAATCAAATATTAAATGAATGGTCAAAAGCATTTCGTGTTTTGAAAAAAAAACAACTCAAGAGAAACTTTCATTTTAACTTGAATAGCTTGCATTAGTCAAAAATCAGCTAGTGTAAGCTTAAACTTTTTACTTAGTTTGTAGCTTCAGATATTATGGTTGCCTATTTGCATCAACTTACAATTGATATGAATTGAAGCAATTTAGCATGAATGATAGTATAAAAAATACTTAAGTTGAGACTTTTAAAATAAAAATTATTGTAGGAAACGCTATGGTTTGTGGCCAAATTAAAAATTTTTTTTATTTCCTTGACTAATTACTTTTGTTAAAACAATTGATTTAGAGTTATTCAGAATGAATTTATAAATATCCAAATCCACAGATTAGGGTAAACCATGTTGAAATTTGTGCAATGTTGAAATTTGTGCGCTCAAATAAAAAAGAAATTAGCCCAAATAAGCCATTTAAACCAAAATTTTGTTTGCAGTTCTGTGTAAAACAGTTGTACAAACATTTCTACATCATTTTGGACAGTCTCGAAGCTTGGAGCAGCTTTAAATTTTAAAAATTCAAAATCCCATACAAAATTGTGATTTTCATATTTTAAAATATTTGGACATAACCAGTGCTGCTTGTAATCAAATCACAGTTTAAATATAAAATTTGATAATTGCTATAATGTTTCAAAAAAATTCAAGTTATAAAAATCATTGGAAGTGCTTTAAAAATTGATTTTAAAATTTCTTGATTGTAAATGTTAAAATTTGTGCGAATTTTTTTTACAAATTTTGAAATTTGTGCGTTTTTTGTCGTAGAAAGCGATGGGAATTTTTGTCAACAACAAATATTATTTACGTATGAAATTCATGTTTTTACAAGATTTCATGAAGAATAACATAAATGGAACTACTGAAAGTCAAAAACTGATAACAGCTGATAAAAATTAAAAACGTGGGTCATTTAAAATTTTAAAAAAAACATAAAACAAAAATGCAAAAGACTTCAAGGATATCCATACAGATCCATATATTCAAAAAGTATATCCTGTTAAGTGTCCAATTTCAGATCTTAAAATAAAAACATTTTGATTTCCTATTTTTCATCTTTTTATTGCTAAAACTCTATGCTGCATAAAATTTACACAAAAATCGAGGAATTGCTGATTTAATGGATGTTCCTTTGACGGTTGTAAACTCAGCCAGCTCAAATTGAGTTAAATCTTGAATCTTGCATTATTTCTTGAGGAAAAGGTTTGAAACAATTCAGCTTTATATTCTTAATTTTATTTCCTACAGCAAAATATCAATTTCTGTTCCAAATATAAATAAAAAATATGTTTGTTTACATTTAAGAATTGCAATTATGTCAAAGATTGCTATTAAAAAAACGCACAAATTTCAACATTTTTTCGCACAAATTTTAAAATTTTCCGCACAAATTTCAACATTTGATCGAAAAAGTCAAAAATCTCTTCCCATATGCAGCATAACCTTGAAAAAACATTATTAACTGAAAATTCCCACAATTATTGATCTTTTGAGCCCATTACCAAATTTACATGATCAGTCATTAGCAACTTATTTGCAAATCAAATCTGCATGTGCAAAAACACACAAATTTCAACATGGTTTACCCTATCATTATTTTTTTTTTCGCGAATTATTTTTATATCTTTTGCCCTCTCATTTCTTCTCGTCTCTTTCACACAAAGGACTATGACCACATCATGCTATTGAACAAAATAAGTAAATATAAATACAGCAACATAGTTCCTTCTTCTCTCGAGTAAAGGAAAAAAAATGAAATAAAACAGCAACACAAAAAATTCATACTACCGTCTCATTCATATGCTCAGTATCATTCAAGTGCTCCATCATGAAACTATATTTCTTGCATTTCGGATAAAGCAGGAACGAAATTAGTTGAAAAGAAGAGCAAATTCTGTGTTTCGAAAGAGAAATATACAGTCGTTCGTATCGATGAAACATTCAAAAGTATTTTTTTAACAAAACCAAAAATATATTCTAACAAGCTTCAATGAAACATAAGAAGTGCATACTTTTTTTTCTTAATTTTTTTTTTGTAAAAACTTTGCTTTATGATTTCAAATAATGATAATGATTGTTTTATAGGAGTTGACACAATTATTGTAAGCATAAAGACAGTGAATTCTGTAAACTCAAAAACTAAAAAGCGTTGAAGCTTTTAAAGATTTTAATGTAATTGTTCATTTCGGTATGTGCTGAACTGACCAAACTTGTTCATCTTTTTCTTCGCATGTTACAAAATTTTCACCGTGAATACACAGCGAAGCGATTTAGCTCTTTGTTGTTGTTGCATTCTGCCGCGCTATTTTTTTGCAGTTTATTTTCGGCCACATAAAGAGCTGCCGCACATGTATATATTTAATTTTTTTTTATATTTTTGCTTGCTTACTTGATGTCTTGCGAATATTTATGATCACTTGGTTGGCTGAGGATATCGAGGGACTACTATCGGCTGAAGAAATCCAAGAATTTTTTTCACATCCGGTTCGGATGAATGCAGGTTTTCAGTATTTAATAAAATTTCAAATAAATCTTTGTTCTTCATTTTTTGCAAACTATTCCTATCATGTATTTTCATTAGTGAGGGATGATCAAAGCATTCGAAGTGAGGGGTAAAGATTTTCAATAATGAGAATGAAACCTTTTCGTCGCTGTTATGTCTCAATGGATGTCTAGCCATAATTTAATGTGATGTATGTTCACATACATGTTTTAAATTTTATACTTGCCACATATACACGCGCAGATGCTACTATACGAGACTTCGTTAAACGAGCACTAAATAAAAATAAATTGCTTACTCTCATGTGCTCCTAGTAACTTCAACTCAATGACATAATATTTCCAAGGTGCAAAGAGAATCCTCCACTTTATAATGTATGTCGCCTGAGTACGGTAGTTGATGTTTGAGAGCAGTAAGCACAATTCGAGGTAACAATGAAGGGGAATTTTATAACAAAGCACCAGCAATGACTCGACGTCATTGGGCTATACCACAGCTCTCATATAAAATGAACTAAATGAAGGAAAGAATTCAAGTTCAATGCTGAAATGAAAATATTGAGTTCAAGGTTTTGTATTTTCTATAGGTTTTGTGTTGTATACAGCTTCGCTTTTTTATGAGAGCTGGGTAAGTTTCGAATTATATCGGTTAAATTTTGCTAAGAAAGTGGAGGAATAACGATTGGCATTAAGGCAAGTTAATAGAGAAGCGGCAACGATGGAATACTTTTCATCTGTGTGCGACCTAAATTTTTGGTTTCATCTTTTATATTTTTATACCAAAAAGAGAGCAGAAAAGTTTACATTCGGATGTTTTTCTTCTCTTTCGATGGTGAAAATAAAATGAAATTTTTTTTTATTATTATTTTATATTCTGAATATTTATTGTGTATTTCATGAATCTCTATATAATATCGTTGTTTATAAAAGAAAAAAATCACACAGTCATTTTGTTTGAATTGGGTATGTCTTGCTCAATTTAATAGTTATATTGACAAATTAAAAACGAAAAAGTCATACTTATAAAGGAATGATCTAAGTCATATTTGAACTACATAATTCTTTTGGAAACATTTTAATTTTTATCAAATATTAATTTTTAAAACTTTTTTCATTTTAATTTCATACGTTTGGTAAACAAATATTTTCTATAATTTTTCTATAAAATGTCATTATAATAATGTAGATTTTAGTAGGAATTCCTTCTGAGTAACTTTTCTATATGTGGATATGAAAATGTTTCATGTTTGCTTTAAATATTTCATTCTATATATTATTGTGTACAAATAATAACACAATGATTGAGTTTTGAAAGCTGTTTTCATCAATGTTTAGTTATGTACTAGAAATCCATTCAATTGAATGATCAATTTTTCTTGAAACTACATATAAGTCTGAATAAGTTTTCATGAACTCCGATTGTTTAGTTCGTTTGAGATAGAAATTTAAATCTATTCTCAATCAGCGTCAATTTTAGGTATAAAATAAAGCAATTTATTATTTAAACATTTTAAAACACTATTGCAAATGTAAATTTTAAACATATGTTTTAGGTTTCTTCTGATCAAACGGCAGCGCGAAAATGTCAGAACGCATTTTACTTCTTGAAGCACTCGAATGGTACATGCAAACATCTACATTTTGTCTAAATCTAAATAAATATCATAAATTCATTTTCATTGAGATTCTAAACATAAAAAAAGAAAATATTTTTAATATTCCATATCACTTGAACATAAAACTTAACACAGTAAGACTATATTTCCACTATCATTGCCTGCTAGTAAAAGTCTATTAAGTGGTAGTAATGAAAATGTTGTTAGGACGCCTTTGCTGAAAGCCTCTGACCTTAATTTTGTAAAACTAAATGGATGATCATGTTGCATTAAGTTATAAGCTCCTATTCGATTTGCTGGTGTGCCGACTATTAATTCATCATTATTAATTCGCAAACAATGCGCTGGCTCTGCTGGACTCCTGTAATTTTAAATTATTGAAAGTTTAATATTCATTTAGTATTGTGAAAACCAATAAACAAAAAAATTTACCGTAGATTATACATTAATGAACCGCTTTGCGCATTCCATACACTTATTGAGTTATCAAGGCTCGATGTGATAAGCTCAACATCGTTTGGTGCTTGCATTTGTAATAATTCACCTTCACTCGCTTTCCAAGATGCTTGAATTATTCCTGTCTTTCCATCTAACATAACTATTTGTCCTGCTGAAAGTCCAACAGCAATCCAACTTCCACTTGGTGCAATTGTTAAACATCTTACTGAGCCAGACGGAGTATTATTAAGTTTCCATTCAAGCACATAATCAGCGATTCGTGAGTCTATGACCTTTATTGTTGAATCAGCTGTTCCAGCAAGAATTAGGCTACTGGGACCAGGGAATGTTCGTACAATGCTTATTGGTGTATATTTTTGACCTTCAATTTGATTGATTTGAGCACCGACAAATGGATCCCACAAATGAACTCCTGAATCGCATGACACAGCTAATCTCATTGACTCTAAAAAGGCAAGAGAATGGACAGATTTTCGATGACCAGTGTATGTAAATTGGCATGGTGATATCTTTGATCCATCACCTTCGCTCCTCAATGACCAAAGCTTGACAGTTTTATCTTTTGATGCTGACATAAAAGAATTTTCGTTATCAAGGCATAAAATTCCTCGAACTGAATTTGTATGTCCTGAGAATGTTTGGAGTTTAATTTGCTTAAGGTTAAAGCTTTGATCCTTTTCATGCCTTCCGATTTCATTTGTCCAGTAAGCAAGCCAATTTCCTTTTAACTGGCGATTTGATGTCACATTCTGTAACTTATAAGCAACTTGATCGATCATATTAGACTGATCATTAATCTTTTGTTCATTATTTTGATAATCAAGTCTATTTCCAACAATTGAAACATTCGTACCAAAACTATGTGGCGAATCAACATGGTCTGAAGTAAGATACGATGTTTCTTGAACTTTTATTGATTCGGTATCAGTTGCATAGTTTGGCACTTCATGCTCATGGCATAAATTAAGCACTAACATGAGATTCTTAACAGTTTGTTTCATAGTATTTTCACCAAACTGTCTTACAAATGGTAAGTAAACAGCATGAGCTAATGATGGTGTAAAAACTTCTTTCAATTCTTCAAGTCCTTTTTCACGCAATTCTTCAGGATTCGAATCATTTGGATCATCAAAACCGTAAGCCTTATCAAAAATTAAGAAAAATCTTTGAAGATGTGGAATGCACAAATGTTCTCGAGCAATTTCGGTTCCTATTCTTAGAGTCAGCACATAAAATAAATCTATCAATTTTCTAGCCAACACTCCACGAGCCAAAAATCCACTAGGCATTGCAAAGTGCGTAGAATTTAACAACCGAATTACTGGCTTGATAATATTTTTTAAAATATTATCTTGCATTTGTTCCATAATTGTTGCATCACTCAAACATGGAATAACAAATTTAATTAATTGTATGCAACTGATAAGTCCACCTTCAAGAGTTGTTGTTATTTTCTTCTTGCAAAGAGCAATAAGCTCGGTAACATGAGGTAAATATTGACATAATATGAAATGTTCACCAAACAATGCTGATATTGCTGTCAAGCAATCGAGAACTTTTGTTGCATTTTCATCACCGACAACTTGACCATCAGCAACCGAAAAAAAGCCAATATTCTGTGGTAAATTTGCATTTGTGCTTGGTAAAAGGTTTTCTTGTGAAACATAACAGAGTGTTAGCATTTTCAAAAGATTTTTCGTCACATAACGTGCCGTCAAAACAGGCCCAAGTCGGTGTGAAAGCCACAAGAGACTTTCTGTACTCATTTCAGAAATTCTTGTTGATCTTGATTGGCGTGTTCTTGAACGACCTCGCCATGATTTTATTTCAATTTTATCATCTATTGCATCTTCAATCTTACTTTTAACTGATTCATCTCGATCCAAAGGTGTTTTTGAAAGAATATCAAATGAATCATTACTTTTGCGGCTTCCAATTTCACAACCAATTGAAGCGACACTGATTCCTCTTTTGTAAACACTTGAAGGTATTGGAATTGTTGGTGATTTTGGATCAAGACTATCAATTTTCTTTGGATTTAGTTTTAACTTTTCGCCTCCCAATGAAAAACGATTTTGATCATTATTATTTGTTTCCTCAGAAAGTTCTTCTGCTTCGTCAGCTTCCGAAAGACCCATTTTCATGTCAATTGAACCAGTTTCAGACTTGATGTCGAATTGATCAATAATTTTTGCGAGTGCTGCATCAGTATCAGCTGTTTGAGTATCGTCATTATCAAACTCAAACATCTCATCTTGTACTAGTTTTGAAGCCATTGTTTTATCATCCTCATCATCATTTGACCCCGGAGAAACTAATGTTGGAGAGCCCTCTGCTGCTGAGTCATTAGAATATGCTTGAAAATCTTTCGATGACATTTGATTTTCAGTTTGTGACGAGTCATGAATGTGATACGGAAATTCAATTTCAGAATCTTTTGCGCCACCTGCTGCCTCTATCAACATTGAAATGAAATTGTCGAGAAAACATTTTAAACCGAACCTTACAATGAGTTTTAATAAAAAGCTATGATGATACAACTTGACAGCTTTCTTGCTGCGGAATGATGTCGCTGTATATCTTATAGTTGAATCGTAACTTGAATTGAAAAAGTTTGCTCTGTCATCATAATGTACATCGTAAAGCCCCAAAATTGGAGTAAGTAGATATTTCTTTGTGTTTTCAATCCCAATAGCAGTTGCAAAATTATCAAATAAATACCAAGCTGATAAAATACCAGTTTCTTCATTTTGAAACATATCAATAATATGTGGAAGGAAAATTTCAACAACATGAAGTCGTTCAAATCCTGATGGTTCCAATAATCCTTCACTCAAAACTGAAAATGCTTTTACTTTACATTCAGCAATTTTCCTATGAATTCCAACGCGTGCCTTGTCTTGAGTCTCAAATTTTTCACAGTTTTTACCATCGCAGTCATATGAAGAATAAAGTTCCAGCATTTTTACGGACGATTCAAATTGTGATAGTGATTTTATGGCTGCATAAATTTTGAAAAAGTTATCAGGAAAAGGTATTAAAATATTAGAGAGCATAGGTTGAAGCAATTGTCCAGCAGAAGGTGGTGGTAGACCCAAAATTGTTATTTGGGTATCGTCACCAGTTTCCATTCCAAATAATAATTTTATTGGACATATTACACAGTCAGGAATTTGATGTTCATCATTTTTAAGCAGCAGTTTACATGCTTCAAACCGTTCTTCAAATAATTGATTTTGTTTCAGTAAGGGTCTCAATTTTCTGCTCATGAATAATTCAATTATGATACATCCAATTATTTTCAACTCCTTTACTTTATTTTCTTGCATAAGCTGTTTGAAGTGTTTCTTTGAATTTAATGCTTGTTGTTTTCTCTGTTTAAAGTTCTGATACATTTTGCTATCTTTTAATGATGCTTCGTATGTTTCCAAGAACATCATATTTGTGAAAGCATTGTCAGATTCTTGCTCATAATTTTGAAATAAATAATTCTGGAATGATGAAGTTAGCGGATAATCCAAGGAATTTTGTTTTATCTTTTTTGGTTTTGTCGATGGTTTTTCATAAAAGGTTTTTGAGATGAAATTTCCCATATTTTCAACAGCTTTTAACTGATGTAGTGGATTGTAATTAGATGGTAATGCAATTAGACTTTGTAAGCCACGTGGAGCACTTGCATGGTAACTTGGTGATCGTTCAATTGATTCAGATTGATAGGGCAAGTAAGAAGATCTTCGTGGGCTGGAAGACAATCTTGTTGGAGGAGTATTAGATGTGGTACTTTCCATAGCATAATAATTATCCATTGATAAATCATCCGTGCTTCTTGTTAATCTTTTCCTCAACTCAGATGAACTTATTCGAGGTGGATTTTTTTGGAACCATGGATTTTTAAATTGCTTTGGTGGATGATGGGATGTAAATAGCTGTACCACTCCACGTTGACATAGTTTCTGATGATCATCTACAAGAGTTAGTACAACATTTTTTGCTTTTACTGCTGCTTTGCCACTTAATTTATACCCAAAAGTTAAATCTATCCAATGATGGAGATTTTCAGACACATATTGAGATTCTAATGCTTCTCGGTGTTTAACAATAAAATCTTCGGGACATGATGACCAAACTGGTACTTCTAGATCAGGCAAATCTTCATTTATAGATTTGAAAACGGATGGATCATTGAAAAATTCAGGAATACATTCTGAAAAAGAATGAAATAATCCTATATAATAACCATTTATGTATGAACTTACGTTAAAAACTTACCATCAGGAGTCCACTCTTGAAGTCTTTTTATGCTTGCAGGATATTCAGCGGCAACAAATTTTGGACGGACGTGTCGACATAATACACTTTTTGGTGTTTTTCTAGCCATGTAGACATAAAAAGTAATTTCAGACAAAACATCTGATACATGATGTGGAGTTGTTGAATTTTCAGCACTATTTTTAATATGTTGGTATGTTATATCTAGTTGAGCATCACCTTTTGTCAATCGATACTTTGTCTTTGTTAAATCTCTCCAATTACCGTTTTTCGAAGAGAAGTCTGTTACCCATGGCATTATGTGATGATAATCAGGCGAATCAATTTTACGCCCAGCATAATTGTTTAAAATTGTTAAATAATCAAAGTTTGATAATTGACCTGTGCACCACATTTGACAATAATCTTTTAGTGATAATTCTGGATTTGAGAGGAGTTGAATGGATGTCGATTCAAAGCTTTCATTTTCAGTGCTTTCACAATGCTCATATTTGATTAGGTTCGACTCTAATTTTGGTATAATACGAAGTAAACAATTTTCTGTTAAATAAATATCACTTAAATTAATTTCGCCTATCACCAATCCTTTATCATGTGTTGACTTCTGGAGATTTATTATTTGATAAATAATAAACATATTTTTGTTATAACTTTTTTCTAGAACTCCTGGAGAATAGCTCACACAATCCAATAAGGTGTTTTCTATGACATTTTGGTAAATCAAATAAAAATGTGAATTTGACTCAACTGCACCAAGTAATGGATACAGATTTATATGGTGCATTTCTACATCAAAATGACAGTTGAATGTTATATCATCAGAAATTGAGTCATTCTTTATTCTATCAAGTTTATAGTGAATAATTGGACATCCATACATTCGTGTGATGACTTCACGCAGTGCAATCTCGTATGGAACCAAAGCGCTATCAACAAATTGCTTGCCATTATTTCCAGTTGATTCATTCTGCTGTTGGTACTCACCAGAATATTTTTTATTTGCATTTTTCCAAAGAATTTTGTGATTCGTTTGTTGAACTTGATATAATTGCTGGGAGTAAGTCAATGGCAATTCATTATCACTTGCATCACTTTTAAATTTTTGTAATGGAATCACTTTATGATTTAACTTTTTGTGAGCCTAAAGATTCAACAGAAAATAGATTTAGAATTATGTCAACCAAAAATGTTTTTTTTTTCATACCACAAGATAAACTTGTTCCCAATTAGATCCTAAGTCTTTTGTTTGTGGCCATTCGTCAATCGCACCAGGATATGTGCGAGCATTTACAATTTTCTTACTTTTAACTAAGACTTTTAGGAAATTTTTATGCACTATGCATTTAAAACGATTTTTCGTGTTAGTTTCTTTAATTTGTTTTCTTGGAATGCTTAATTCCTGGCAAATGTACTCCATTGTTAATTGAAAATATTAATGATTTGTAAGTCTTTCATGACATATCCATTCACTTTTGAAAGTATTGAATAGTTTAAAGTAACAAAGAAAAAAATGTTACAAACTAGTGTATCGGGTAGAAACCCAATGCGGATATATTCACACCGTACCATCAAAAGTCTTATGGATAGACCAAGATTTGCTCAGCATAAGTTTTGTCACCCTTAATTGACAATTGGATAAACCTTCGAAGAAAAAAAGTGAAAAACTAGATTTTGACTAGACCTGTCCCAAGTTCATAATTGAAAATGTATTTCCTACTTGGTTCTTTGCTCAAAAAAGTTTTAGGATGTTTTATTTGTATTTGTTTTAAGCACTAGAATATTTATGCAAAGTTTCAATCCATTTGTATAAACCCTTGAAGAAAAAAAGTGAAAAAAATGATTTTGACTAGGGTCGCCCCTAATCCAAAATTGAAAATGTATTTCCTCCTTGGTTCTTTGCTCAAAAATATTTTAGGATGTTTTATTTGTATTTGTTTTAAGCACTAGAATATTTATGCAAATTTTCAATCCATTTGTATAAACCCTCGAAGAAAAAAGTGACAAAATTGATTTTGACTAGGGTCACCCCTAGTCCAAAATTGAAAATGTATTTCCTACTTGGTTCTTTGCTCAAAAAAATTTTAGGATGTTTTATTTGTATTTGTTTTAAGCACTAGAATATTTATGCAAAGTTTCAATCCATTTGTATAAACCCTCGAAGAAAAAAAGTGAAAAAATTGATTTTGACTAGGGTCGCCCCTAGTCCAAAATTGAAAATGTATTTCCTACTTGGTTCTTTGCTCAAAAATATTTTATGATGTTTTATTTGTATTTGTTTTAAGCATCAGAATATTTATGCAAAGTTTCAATCCATTTGTATAAACCCTCGAAGAAAAAAAGTGAAAAAATTGATTTTGACTAGGGTCGCCCCTAATCCAAAATTGAAAATGTATTTCCTACTTGGTTATTTGCTCAAAAAAAGTTACGATGTTTTATTTGTATTTGTTTTTAACACTAGAATATTTATGCAAAGTTTCAATCCATTTGTATAAACCCTCGAAGAAAAAAAGTGAAAAAATTGATTTTGACTAGGGTCGCCCCTAATCCAAAATTGAAAATGTATTTCCTGCTTGGTTCTTTGCTCAAAAATATTTTACGGTGTTTTATTTGTATTTGTTTTAAGCACTAGAATATTTATGCAAATTTTCAATCCATTTGTATAAACCCTCGAAGAAAAAAGTGACAAAATTGATTTTGACTAGGGTCACCCCTAGTCCAAAATTGAAAATGTATTTCCTCCTTGGTTCTTTGCTCAAAAATATTTTAGGATGTTTTATTTGTATTTGTTTTAAGCACTAGAATATTTATGCAAAGTTTCAATCCATTTGTATAAACCCCCCAAGAAAAAAAGTGAAAAAATTGATTTTGACTAGGGTCGCCCCTAGTCCAAAATTGAAAATGTATTTCCTACTTGGTTCTTTGCTCAAAAAAATTTTACGATGTTTTATTTGTATTTGTTTTAAGCACTAAAATATTTATGCAAAGTTTCAATCCATTTGTATAAACCCTCGAAGAAAAAAAGTGAAAAAATTGATTTTGACTAGGGTCGCCCCTAATCCAAAATTGAAAATGTATTTCCTACTTGGTTATTTGCTCAAAAAAAGTTACGATGTTTTATTTGTATTTGTTTTTAACACTAGAATATTTATGCAAAGTTTCAATCCATTTGTATAAACCCTCGAAGAAAAAAAGTGAAAAAATTGATTTTGACTAGGGTCGCCCCTAATCCAAAATTGAAAATGTATTTCCTGCTTGGTTCTTTGCTCAAAAATATTTTACGGTGTTTTATTTGTATTTGTTTTAAGCACTAGAATATTTATGCAAAGTTTCAATCCATTTGTATAAACCCTCGAAGAAAAAAGTGACAAAATTGATTTTGACTAGGGTCGCCCCTAGTCCAAAATTGAAATTGTATTTCCTACTTGGTTCTTTGCTCAAAAAAATTTTACGATGTTTTATTTGTTTTTGTTTTAAGCACTAAAATATTAATGCAAAGTTTCAATTTCTTGCTGATTAACTTGCTTGATTGTTTGCTTACAGAAAGCGTATTTTGCGATTTTCTCAGCAATGCCACAACCAATTTGAAAACTGTTTTTTGAAAATGATGTAGAATTTCAGGCACAAACTTTTCTTCTGTGACCTTTTATAACCAATTTTGCTTTGTTTTCTCGCAAAATGCGAAAAACTGATTTTTCAATCTGAACAAAACCAATAGATTCACACGTGAAAACGGTGTGAATTGGTGTGAATAAAAAAAATCGTATGTTTACACTTTTTGCAGGGATTTTGTGTGAGTTCTTCTGTGTTTCAAATCTCAAGTGAAAATTTGTTTTTATTTGAATTCTCTCCGAACGTTACAGAAATTGAAAATAGTTTTTTTTGCCGCTTTTTAAATCATATGTAATCTGAGGGAAATCAGCTGATTAATTTATTAGAATCATGTACTAATGAAAATTCTGGGGTATGCTTATTATTTTTTGTAAGATAAGTTTTATAAGCGTAATGGATGAGTATTTCAAAAAGTTCATTAATTTAAATCAATACGAATATGCGACAATAATTTCACATTCCAATGAAGATTACATGATCTGTACGTCTGTTCTGTTTTTGGTATACGATAATTAATTTACTAAATATTTTTTGCGTATAAATTTATTTTATGATGTCAGATTTAAAGGTCAAAATCAGCTTTAAATTTCTAACAAGCCACATATGGAAATCTTATTCAACAAATATTCATTTCTTTTTTTTCCCAAAACAGTTGTGTCTAATTTTTTTAACAACAACAATCAGCTGGATGTAAATTTGCATTCACTTCCGAATCAACTATCATTTCTCCAAATTTTATTTCTTAATTAATTATAATGATCAATTTACAATATTCTCATCGACTTTTTTTCTCTCAATATAAAAATATTATAATTAATTTGAGTTTTAATGAAATCACTTAATTATCTTCACTGCACTGATTTGTTTATTCTAGTTTTAAATAAATCATTATTCTTTCTTTACTACTGATTTTTTTATTTATTACATAACTATGATTGAATCAAGTGAATCAACTTGTTTGCTATTCCAAAATAGATCAAATAAAAGTAAGTATTTTAACTTCAATTTTAAATGATCATAAAATGTAACTGCTCTAACAAATTATAGACGTTTGACTTGTTTCCTTTTGAAATGATGATTAAATATTTTGCTTTCATTCTCATTTTTATACAAACAGATGAGACACAATGTTGTTTCTTATCATACTGCTCCAATGAAATATGAAATTATCTCATATGCAGTGTACATTTGTATTATTATACAATTTAACATGTCTGGACATTGCAAAGAAAATACATTAAAAAAACTTGTTTTTAAAATTCTTTAAAAACGTACGAAAGAGAACAAAAAATTCTTGAGTTATCATCGAAATATAATTATTCGAAGTAAATAGTCGAGATTTTTGTGTATGTAAAAAGTGCAACCATAAAAAATTTAAGTGGGTTTATATATTTTTTATCTTTACATGATAATTATTAATCTACAACATTAGTTTTTATACTTTGAATTTTGAAAAATTTGAGAATGATACCAAACATATTGATCCCCTGACTACGTCACAGTCTAAACTGAATACTATGCCTACAATTATTTAATTTAAGAATTATCAAATTTTGATGTAAAATAATGCAGGTGTATTTAGCCTAGACCTCAATTCTTACTCAGCAATTTAATAATTCTTTGTTACAAAGAATCAAACAAACGCTATAAGTCGCAGCTACATTTGATGTGTATCTTAGTATCGTTGAAAGACAAAAATTATTACATTGAGCGACTTATTTCCGATCATTTTGTGAATAATTTTTAAAACATAAACAAAATCATCATCATCAACATCACGTTTTTGAAGGCATCGCAAAACTATTTTTTATGACACTTTCAATGTTAAAAATGCAGATTGAGCGAATAAATTAGTTTGCTTATTTCCGCACGTGACTATATGAAATCTTTCAAAGTTTATGTTCATATAAGAATTAAATTAAAATTTCATCTCGAATTGTTCTATCCAATTTTATTACCAAAAATCATATTTTGGGCGTTAAACGATGATATACATAGACTTTTTTTTATGAGCACGTTTTACTCTTACAATTGTCATAAATTACTTTAATGTGACAATTAAAAGGAGTTGAGCGATAAAAAAATGAAGTATTGAGAATGATTTTGGCAGTGTGACAATTCATTATAATAACCGCCACATTATTGAGATTTATATTTCGATTGATTGTCATGAAAAACTCAAATTTACATGACGACGTCGAATTTCTCATGAATTAATATCATTTTTGCGTATTCTCTTTAACTTACTTTTCTCTTTTTTTTTTGCATTTTTAATGTAAAAGAGTGAATTTTTTTTTCTCCAATCAATCATGAAACACTCAGTTGCAGTATGTAAAAGCAATACGTTTACAAGTTGCGTCATTTATTGTATTGTTATCAATTTGAGAATTTTTTTTATTGTTTATAGATATGTTTCAAAAAATACTCACATATACATTTGTGGAATTTCTACTCTCCATGTAAGTTAGCTACTGCTGAGTTAGAGAGTTTCCTACCTTTTAACATGGTCATCAACGTCCCGAATAGACAAAGAGCGTGCTCACTTTTGTGAGCACGTTAATGAGCATACTCAAAATCATCATTTAACGTGCTCACCTGAGCACACTCAGTTGAACATGCTTGTGAGCACATTGTGAATATGCTCACAAAAAAACAAATTTTTTGAAATTTTTTATTTTATTGAGCATGCTCGAGAGCATACTCAATTCCTAAATCTAAGCATGCTCACTTGAGTACACTCTTAAGCATACTCGTGAGCACATTGTGAATATGCTCACAAAAAAATCAATTTTTTTAAATTTTTCATTTTATTGAGCATGCTCGAGAGCATACTCATTCTTGAGAGCATGCTCATGAGCATACTCAATTACCAAACTTAAGCATGCTCACTTGAGTACACTCTTAAGCATACTCGTGAGCACATTGTGAATATGCTCACAAAAAAAACAATTTTTATAATATTTCACATTTTATTGAGCATGCTCATGAGCATACTCAATTCTCAAATTTAAGCATGCTCACTCTTAAGCATACTCGTGAGCACATTGTGAATGTGCTCTAAAAAAACATTTTTTTTTAAAGATTTCACATTTTATTGAGCGTGCTCAAGAGCACATATATTGAGCATACTCTGAGTATGCTCATGATTTTGTATATACTTCACAAGTCAAAGTTTCTAGAATTATATATAGTTATCTACTTTTTAACTATAAACATTGTTTAAAAACATTTTGAGATCAATTTCGAAGTATTTAACTTTGTTATAGTTTATATATGAGTTTTTGCCATAATAAATTATAAAGGTAAATTGCAGCAGTGGTGTAATGGTTATGGTAATGGTCTTAGCAACAGAGCGGTCGTGAGTTCGAATCCAGGTAAAATCCAAAATTTTCTTAATTGTTTTTTTCAGATTATTAATGAACAAAATTTATTCTAGAACATTAAAAAACTCTACAACAGTAAAATATGTCAAAAAAATAATTTCAAAATTTAATTTTTTTGAAAATTATGAAATAATGTGAGTACACTCAGTGAGCATGCTCAGAGTACACTCACGAGCACACTCACCGAGTGTACTCAAATGTCACATCATATGACATAAAAAATGTTGCATTTCACACAACAATTTGAGCATGCTCAAAATTTGTTAAAATAACGTGCTCAGAGCATGCTCAAAAAACGTGCTCATTAGCGTAAAGTAGTGGCATCACTTTTCGTATGAAAGAGCACGCTCACGCGAGCATGCTCAGCACTGAAATTGAGCGCGCTCATAGCGTGCTCTTTGTCTATTCGGGGTAGTGAATATAAATTGCAACCACTTTTTATGAAACGATTTTAGTTTATTTTCAGTCGCTGACGCGTCCTGAGCTTTAACAGAGTTAAGCAGTAAACGTTAAAATTTCGTGATATTAGTTGCTTAAAAGTTGTTAAACATTAAGTGTTAAATACTGTTCCTGGTTACTGAATAAGAATTTATTGATAAAAAATTATTATTTTTAAGATGCTGATCGGTTGGCGAAAAACTGTTGCAAAATGTGAGTTAAAAATATATTTTCGAAAATAAAAGTGAAATAAACATCGAAAATATAATAAAATTTAAATTTAAAAAAAAACATAAAAAACCCAAAAGTGTAATTTAAAATAATTGCATTTTTAAATTTTAAGTTTTGCTTACAATCAATATTTGAGACACCAATGAGCATAAATAATTTCTTCTGCAAATATATTCAAGACTTTCAATTTCATTTTCATAAATTTCAATTTTAAATCGTTTTAAAATGCAAGGTACATAATTCTTTTTATGGGCAGGTCGCTCATTACTTGATACAAAAACAACTTTAAGAAGGTTTACTCCTTCCTCAAAAACAGTACTTAATGGATTAATGACACAATAATAAAAATTTTTACCGCAGAATATGTAATAAGGAAAGATGTAGTTTACATCGAAATTCCGAAATTAAAACATAACAAAAACGTAAAACTAACGGAACATCTTTTCTTCCTATTATTACGAATATGACATTTTAATAAAACACTTTATTAAAGGGGAAAAATTAGTATTCTTTAAATTTTTGGGTTTTCGTAATTTTTTAAATAACTTTTTTTGGGGAATTCAATGTCAGATGAACAAGTAGTAAATGTGAGAAATGTTTGCAAACAACAAATCATAAATTGAAGGTAATAACAATGCTAAACTTGACCATCGCGGGCTAATAAACTGATTGAAAGAGAGGAGTTGCATATGAATGGCCGATATTATCATTTCGAATCACGTTTTGCGAAAGTCAACGACATTGAGATAAATGTGATGGCGCACGCTAAAGACAAATTGATCATTGTCTATTCACGATATCTTAAACGACTTTTTGTGGATATTTTCCGTCTTTCTTTTACACTTCAATCATCTGTTAATTGAATGATCGTTGATATTGGTTTTTAAATCCATAATCGTACGACATCAAAAAACTGTCGTAGTTTTACGAAGGATAAATATATCTTATAAATATCATCAGTGATAGTGCACTGGGTCATGGCAAATTTTTTTTTTTCAGTCAAAATGCTAATTTATGATAAAGAACAAAAAACTTTAAAGACAATTTTATTGCAAAATTTACGCAATATTCATATGCTTACGCTAAATAAATATTTAGTAGTTATCTTGTAATTTATCATATCAATTTTACTGCGACATAAAAGAAACAATCAGGTTATTGAGTAGCATTCATTCACTACCGATAGTGAGAGTTATTTTTCTTACTTCTTGCAATTTTTTTAAGGAGTAGACTCTTTTTCACATCCTCAAAAATAGGATAGACTTATTACAATCAAGAAATTTAAAATAGAGGGTCTAGAACTGTGTTAAGATTTAAAAAAAATTAAGAGTGTCTACGCTTTATTTATTTTATATTCGTTGTTATGTACATGCAATAACATGGAACTAAGTTTTATGCAATAAAATTTTTTATATTCTTTTGAAGTGGTAAAAACTAAGTTTATTGGAATTCAAAGGTTTTTAAAAGCATTTAAAGTGTGCGAATTCCAGTTTTCAAGGTCGAGTTGGAAAAAAAATTAATTTATAATTAAAAGTTCTTTAATCGACAATGATTTTCGCCTGGTATTTATAGAATTCTTAAGAAGTCAATATAGATAAAAGTTAAAACTTAATAAATTTATTAAAATTATCTGAATTTTTAATTTTAAACATAATAAAAATTGTATACTATCTTTAGTAGTATTTTGTCTTTGCCCTCTCGTAAACATGTGTCACCAGTATGCAATTATTAACTCTTAAAAAAATACAAGTTCGGTGACACAAAGTAAAAGTTTAAAATATCATGAGTGCAATAGGCATTTCTTCTTTTCCGCTACAAGAAAAATTGTTTCGTATGCAATGTCCCTTTGGTATGGACATCAATTATTATCAAGACTTTCTTCAATTATCTGTCTCTTCTTTTGTAGCAATTTCGAATGAAAATTTCACTCATTACGTTTTTTGTCTAATTAAAAGCAGCATTCAATTTTTAAACTTTTTTAAGACGTCATCGAACAGTTTCAATATTATTTTAATTAAAAAAGGATTAAGTATCTTTATTTTCTGTGATTGCTATCGTGAATTAAGTTTAGGAAATATTAATATATTTAATGGACGAGCATAAACAAATGATTTTCTTAACCTATTAAGAAGTTTTAAGTATTCTGTAAAAAAGAATGGTAGCAATACTTAACTTCGTGCTTGCTTGAATATCAAGTTTTAAACTCTTCTTGAGAATATTTACTTTTTACTTTAACAAAGTTCTTACGTCATGAAATCATCATATTTTTTAATATTTTATAAATTACTCAAATCTATGACCTTGAAAAATATAGCAAAAATTCATAAAAATTGCAACATGCACATAGCAACAAAATTTGATTTAAATCATTCAAGCATTCCAAAAGCATTTGTGCAATGATTTAACACGGCAGAAAATTTAATTGCAGATTTGATTAAGCACTTCCATTGCTATGATTTAAAAGTTGAAACGCTTAAGTATAAAGCTGTTGTCAATGTGTCAATATCTGATTTATCAGCTACTCAAGATTTTTATTGGGATCATAAAACTGATGAACAGATAAGATTCTTTAACTTCCACAGATAATTTACAAAAAGTAATAGTCACTATGGGGTCGTTCACTTATGACGTCTAACACTTAGTGGGGGAGGGGGTTTCAAAAAATTTGTAACATATTGTAACAGGGGAGGGAGGGGGGTCAGGAAATTTGTGACATCTAATTTTTCCAGAGAAGGAGAGGGGGATTAAAAATTAGGTTTTTTGATGGACTTCATAAGCGGTGAAATGGCATCAGTGGCCTAAAAGGTAGAGCGTTGGCCTTACGTGCCAAAGGTCCTGGGTTCAATCCCAGGCCATGTCTAATTTTCGAAGCTCTTTTTCCATCTCACCGTTCTAGTTACGAAGCTTGGTTCGCGTGTTGGGTGTAGTATTGATGTCTTTAGCATAGAATATGCCTCCTTTGCTAGGTATACAAGGATATACTAGCATCTGGATGACTTCCTTACGGCATCTTGCGCATACGAATTGTGACTAGGTACATTGCAGGGTACATCAGGTCTTATGACGTACTCGTGTCTTTGCAATGTGCAGAGCTTGCAAGTGTTTTGGATCCCACTATAAACTGTAGGTCTAAAGGGTGTGGTACAATAGACTCTGTTCTAATTTGAATCGCAGTGTCTCCAGCAGAAAGGCTGGACCCTTCACACATTATTATTATTATTATTATTATTATTATTATTATTAAATGGACTTCATAAGTGAACGGCCCCTAAAAAGTGCTATAGAATTGTTGTTTTATTTTCAGAAATGAATGTCATGGTTAAAACCTATTTATAATTTCTGATTGCATTAATTTCTATTCACAGTTCATCACTCCTTACGATTTTATTTTAGATCATGAGTATGTTTAATACCGCTTATCCCTAATTGGCAAAGAGCACAGGAAGAACACACTCTAATTTTTGCTGAGTGTTCTCTAAAAAGTATGCTCTTTCTTACAAAAGTTTGTGCCACTACTTTACGCCTAAAAGTGTACTCACCTGAGCGTACTCACTCAGTTATACTTTGAGCACACTCTTGAAATAAAACATTTTTTTATGTGTCATGTCACATGTGACACACTTTATGCTCAATTAAGCACATAAAACATATGCTCAAATAAGCATACTTACTTTGACATACTTTTAATATACTCATAAAAGTACATCTTAATCTGACTATTGATGTACTCAAAAGAGTATACTTTGAGTGTACTTTAAAGTACGTAATAAATAAAAATTATTATTTTTTGAATTTTTTTTTTATTATTATTTTACATAATTAATGTGTACTTTTTTAATTGTGCTGATCGGCTTAAAATCGGCTAAATTGAAATTCTGAGCTCACTATAGCTACATGCTGACAAAATATTAAACAGAATCACAGTAAAGCATGTAAAGTTCAATTTAAATACTTGAAATGGGTGTCAAATGGCTTTTTTCTATCAAAAAAATCAAAAATTGAGTTAAGCCGAAAAAATCGGCTTCGATCTCTGGAAAATTTTATAAATCTTACCGGGATTCGAACCTCTGATCGCTGTGTTCTTAGATAAATTCTGCGTTGCTACCTCTACTCCACCGAATTGTGTTACCTTATGTAAAATTTTTGGCAAATAACACATTTAACTTTGATTTAAAATTTTAAAATTTAAATGACGCTATTGCTTGCGTTTTTTACGACCGTCTGAAAGGAAGTTTAATTAAATTAACTTTTTCTGAAATTTTACCTTACGTTTTACGTACGTATTTTTACGTAGCCCTTAAAAAGGTGAATTTTCTCACAACTCATTGGTCACGGGTTCAGGCCTTACCGTGAGTAACTTTTTTTTCATTCTTATTTACACTTTTTTGATAGATTATGATGTTTTATGATAAATTTTTCCATTTTCATATTTTTCCACGCGTTTTCCGAGGTTTTCACGGAGTTATTCACTTTTTCCATACATTTTTCATACCAAATTATTTTTTTGCCATAATTTTGTTTCTTTTAAACTTTTAATCTGAAATTTGGCATGTAGGTTAAGTGGCTGTTCCTGAATATATAACCGACGGCATTTTGGATTCTAAGGGTTGGAAACCTAATACAAACTTTAATCCTTTTGTAACATTAATCTTATATGTATATGTAGAGATACATATACATTTAAAATCCTCAAGGGGGAGGGGGGGGGTGAAAGCAAAAATTGCTAGGAAGTAGTGTATCGGGTAGAAACCCAAGTTATCCATAAATTTGAAGGTATGAAGCTAGCGCGTCAGCTGAGCTTCGTTCAGCATATGTTTGAAGGTTTAAAGCTTAACGAACATTCTTTGAAAGATTTTTAAAATTTTTTTTTCATCCAAAGTTTAATTTTATAAAAATCACAGTGAACTTTTGTTTTGAAAAATTCGTAAGAAAGGAAATTTTTTGCTTTTTCTGAAGCAACGGCCGTTCCTCCCTTGCCTAAAAACAATGCAGCTCTTCTATAGAGCAACACGGATCAAATGTAAAAAACTAGAAGTCTCTACGATGTCTCGTTATTGAGATTTCTTGATGATTAACTTGCTTGCTTGTTTGCTTACAGAAAGCGTATTTTGCGATTTTCTCAGCAATGTCGCAATCAATTTGAAATCTGTGTTTTGCAAAAGATGTGAAATTCTAGGCACAAACTTTTCATCTCTGAACATTTTAAGCAACCTTGTTCCATATCCTCACAAAATTCAAAAAAACTGATTTTTTAATCTGAACAAAACCAATAAATTCACACGTGAAAACCCAAAACTGTTTACTGTGATGAAATTTCCAAGTACTCCACAAACGAAATTGAAAAAGTCAAATTTAAAGGAACTGAAGCATCCAAGTAAAAATTTTTAGATGTCAAAAGGTCTTAAATCATGATTCTCATCAGTTTCAATCAAAATTTTGGTCATAAACTGCATCGGAAGGAAGTATTGCACAAATTTCATTTTTCGTCAATTTTTTTTCCAATACAAAAGTAAAGTGCTGAAGCATACAAACGATTTCAAACTGATATTTATAAACTTTTTTTTTTAAATTAAACCTAGAGATTCTTGTAAGTAAATATTTGTTAAGTTTGAGAATTTAAGTATAATCCAATTGGATGTGACTTGTTAAAAAGACGTGCTTAGAGTATATTTGAGAGTGCACTCAGAAAGTGTACTCAGATGAGCATAATTTTATTACATAAACTTATTACAAAGACGTGCTCAGAGTACATTTGAGAGTGCACTCAGAAAGTGTACTCAGATGAGCATAATTTTATTACATAAACTTATTACAAAGACGTGCTCAGAGTACATTTGAGAGTACACTCAGAAAGTGTACTCAGATGAGCATAATGTTTCTTACATAAACTTATTACAAAGACGTGATCAGAGTACATTTGAGAGTGCACTCAGAGGAGCATAATGTTTCTTACATAAACTTATTACAAAGACGTGCTCAGAGTGCATTTGAGAGTGCACTCAGAAAGTGTACTCAGATGAGCATAATGTATTTAAATGTGAATTATCAGAAAGGTATGCTCTGAATATGCGCTTGAGTACACTTGAAGAGTATACTGACGAGACTATACTGTCTTTAAAATTACACTCACATTTGTCATACTCACAATGTGAGAGAGGACATACTCAATAAGTATACTCAAGAGAGCACATAAAGAAAATTTTTTGTATCATGTTGATGTACTTAGAGTATGTTAGAGAGCGTACTCAATGAATGTACTCAAGTGAGTATACTACGTTTTTGTACTCATTATGTACTCATGAGAGTATGTTCATTTGAGCACATAAATTTCTATCATTGAGTATGCTCTCGCATGTGCTCAAATTTGTGAGCATGCTCTTTGCCTATTAGGGTTAATGATACAGGTAGCATTTAAATTTGCATTAGAGTTGTATCACAAAGCAATTGTTTAAAAGAACTTATATTACCAGCTCCTTAAAACCCAAAAATAACCTTTTCAATCACCAACCGATTTTTAAAAATAACACAATGCTATTAATAATTACCAATTACCTGCGATTTCATATCAATGTTTAATCGTTATTGAAACGAATCAAGTACTTGATATTCTTTCATATCAGAACTTGAAATGATTATCCTTGAACACTTGAAATTTTTCTCACTACTTGACATAATATGTATCTTAAACAGAAGATTTAAAATTTCATTTTTTATGGCACTTGATAATAACCATTAAATTTTATTGTACAAGATTGAGATAATAAAATGGCAATCATGCTTTATGTGGAACAATTTTATTACTTACTTTAAATTTCAAAAATGTTCATCATTGAAATTTTTCGTATTCTTCCTAATCATAATCAATAGTGTGAAAATTTCAAAACAGAGTAAACATCGCTTGAAATTTTTATTTCACAATCAAAAGTTTTTCTATCAGCATCAATCAAAATTTAACGTTTTAAGGAAATCAACGCATCATTATTGGATTTCTACTTATAGTCAACGATACAACAAACTGAAAATGATTTTCAAAAGTGCGTTGTCATTAATTACTAATTAATACCTTGATTTTATCAAGTATTGATTTATTTTTATCAAATCAGTTCTTATCAGCTTATTTTAATTGCTTGTTGATTATGACACATGATTGATTACTCATTGAGTATTTTTTTTTATCAACCTTTAGGCTTCATAATTCCTCAGCGGGTCGTTTTATCAATTATGGGATTTTTGGCAATAGTAAATGCATACACCATGAGAATTTGCCTTAATGTTGCCATCACAGAGATGACTGTGAAGAAAAACAAAACTTTTATTGATGATGGAGTCGATAGAGGAATTTGTTTAGTTGAAGGTGGAAGTTCTGGCGGAAATATGGGCAAAGGAATATTTGAATGGGACGAAGAACTTATTGGAATTATTCTTGGTGCTTTCTTTTGGGGATATGTAAGTTTATCACGTAACAATTAAAATAAAAATTTAAATCTTCAACCTTCAAAATGAAAAGGTAATAACACATCTGCCAGGAGGACTCTTATCTGAAAAATTCGGTGGCAAATACACCCTCGGATTAGGAATTCTATCAACTGCTATCTTTACTCTTATAACACCAGTTGTTATCAATTGGGGTAAGTATTAATATGAAGTTATTCGTATGCAGATACATATCAATTTTTTTCTATCAGGCGGATCAACATGGTTAATTGTTCTTCGGTTTCTTGAAGGGTTAGGTGAAGGCACAACATTCCCCGCTTTATCTGGTGAGACAGTTGCTTCAGTTTTTAAATTTTGAGTTCTTTCAATTAGCATTTTAATTTTCAGCACTTCTTGCTACATGGGTTCCTGTTAAGGAAAGAGGAAAGCTTGGATCTTTTGTATTTGGAGGTGGACAAGTTGGAACTATCATCGGCACTGCATTATCAGGCGTCCTTATTGATTATTATGACAGCTGGGAATCTGTTTTCTATTTCTTCGGTATTCTTGCCATAATCTGGTTCCTTATTTTTATTGTTATTTGCTACAAAGATCCAGAATCACATCCATTCATCACTGAAAAGGAAAAGGATTACTTGATAAGAGAAATGGGAGCACTTTCTAGAGACAAAACCTTAGCTCCAACGCCTTGGAAAGCAATTGTAACAAATGTTCCAATGATGGCTCTCGTTTGTGCTCAAATTGGTCATGACTTTGGTTTCTTCATTATGGCAACGGATTTACCAAAAGTGAGATGTTTTTTATCTTTCGAATTTTAGTCTCAATCTTTGAATCTTCTATTCTTATTTTTAGTACATGAGTGATGTCTTGCAATTTCCAATCAAAGAAAATGGTTTGTACTCTTCACTTCCGTATGCTTTTATGTGGGTTACATCAATTGCTATGGGATTCGTTTGTGATTGGATGATTAACAGAAAAATGATGAATGTTACCAACTCGAGAAAATTCTACACAACAATTGGTAACATAAAAATTGCTCAACATCGTCACTTCATATAATTATAATTGTTCTTTAATTGTTTTAGCATCTTTTGCACCCGCATGTTTAATTGTTGGAGCTTCGTATGCTGGATGTGATCGTGTGCTAGTAGTAATTCTATTCACACTTGCTATGGGATTCATGGGTGGATTTTATCCTGGCATGAAAGTAAATGCTTTAGATTTATCACCAAATTATGCTGGAACATTAATGGCTATTACAAACGGAATTGGTGCAATGACTGGTATTCTCGGACCATATTTAGTTGGTGTTATTACTACAAACCAATCGCTTTATGAATGGAGAATTGTCTTCTGGATTGCCTTTGGAGTATTTAATATTACCAATGTCGTTTATATATTTTGGGCTTCTGGAGAAGTTCAGCCATTCAACGATTCAGAACTGCTCAAAAAATCAAAGGAAAGCTTAGCAAATTCTGATAGTGAAGCGAATCACAATGAAGTCAAAAAACCAAAACTGATATCAATTAAAGGAAATAAAAATGAGTCGTGAATATAGAGTGGATTGCATAAAGGATTGAAACAGGAAAATAAAACATTAATTGATATAATTTAAAAATAATGATTCGTTTAATTTTGATGTCCATGGGATGGAAGGTTGAATAGAATTTATTATTTTTTGGAAGTCATAAGTGAACGACCTCAATGAATTAAAAGTATTTTACTTCAATCAAAATAGTTTAAGCTTTTTTTTATACCATTACGGCAACATGAAAGGTGGAAAGACAAAGAAGAAGACTGAGATACATTAAGCATGTAGATGAGAGTAATGCAAACGTAACAATTTAAATATCTCTGAAACATGGATTGATTAGAATTGGCTACTGCACGGTTACTTATAAAGTAAAAACTATTTAGATTTTTGCTTAAAAATCGCGTATTTAAAATTTTAAATCTTAATGCTTAAATTGAAAAACTTATTTAAGTACAAATCTATATGAAATTGCCATTTTTGATGCATATAAATTGAAAATTTATTCTTTAAAATTAAAAGAAATTAGAACAAAATTAAATACTGTATATACTTCATGTTGAAGTCAAAAATTTATGTTTTAAATAATTTAAATAAAAGAAAAATTATGAAAATTAAATATTTCAACAAAAACCAATTTCTTGAACTTTTCAGAGTTTTTACTCCATTGTTTTAAAAAAACTTTTTTTAAGAGCATAATGACTACACTCCAGAGGATTAGAAAGATCTTCTGTGATCTTTGTAAAACCAATGCTTTAGATATATGATCTGCAACACAGAAAAAAATTATGAATTTGGGAATAGGATTGAGTTTTGTAACTTTCAAGGGTCAGACACTCCAACAGAATTGTAAAGATTGTACAATTCTTCACAATCCATATGGAAGGATTGTAAAGATTGTACAATCCTTACAATCCTTACAATCTTTATATGAGAAGGATTGTAGGGATTGTAATCCTTACAATCCTTATATGGAAAGGATTGTAGGGATTGTAATCATTGAATTGCAATCCATATAAGGATTGTAAGGATGAAATAATTGTATGGAACATTTAAAAATGTTTTTCATGGGTTATTAAAGAAGAAATATTACTTTAATATTAAAAATTTTTTTTGTTTGAATTTAAAGAACGAAATAAGCTTGATATATCAATTTTTTCCCTTTTAACCAGGGTGATTTAAATCAAAAATCAAAATCAAAATCATTTTGCAATGATTTTAAAAAGGATTTTGATTTAAATCATTTTTTCAAAGGGATTTTTTTTTGGATTTTGATTTAAATCTCTTGTATGAAAGATTTTATTGGGATTTTAAAATCCCTCCATGTAAAATTTTTGTTTTCAATTTCTCAAATTAATTTTCAAATCAACAGTTTTCAGTTGCAGTTCCTAATAAGTAAGAATGCAGTTGATCCTTTTTTGGCCTGAATCTTGCAACTGGATCTTTTAGATCCAAATATTTCTTAAAGAAAGGTTACAGCAACCAATGGTTCCATGCTGTTTGACTTAAACGAAATCCAATTCGTGATTTTTAATCTTTTGTGCCTTGCTGCTTGCATATAAATAACTGGACTTCATCAAGCATGCCTGGATCTTACTTCTTATGAGGATTTACTTGCTCAATGCTTTAAAAAACTTAAATATCTTTTATTATAGTACGTTAGTTTAATGAGTCATAAGCAAGAATAGGCACTTGAACTGCCTGGTTCCTTTACATCCACAAAAAATTTTTTGTTGCTTTTTCATCAAGGATTCACCTCTTGAAGTCAAAAATTTTGTGCGGAAATGGCCGATTCCTTTCGTACATGAAAGCACAGAAGATAAAAAATCACGAATTGGATTTCGTTTCAGTCAAACAGCATGGAACCATTGGTTGCTGTAACCTTTCTTTAAGAAATGCTTGGATCTAGAAAATCCAGTTGCAAGATTCTGGCCAAAAAAATGATCAACTTCATTCTTACTTATGAGGAACTGCAACTGAAAACTGTTTATTTGAAAATTAATTTGAGAAATTAAAAACAAAAATTTTACATCGAGGGATTTTAAAATCCCAATAAAATCTTCCATACAATAGATTTAAAACAAAATCCCCAAAAAATCCCCATACAAAAATGATTTAAATCAAAATCTCTTTTGAAAATCATTGCAAAACGATTTTGATTTTGATTTTTGATTTAAATCACTCACCCTGTTCACAGGTGTAAAAATTATACTTTTTACAGCTTTTTAATGAGTTGAAATGTATAAAAAATCATTCGAATTGATTCACGGTAAATTATTGCATTTTAAATATAATTGTTTTCAAAGAAATTTCTGACTTTCTTCATTTTTCGTATTTTATTTTATTTTTTAAAAATAAATGGACATTATTTTTTGTTTAGTAAGGATTGTACAATCCTTACAATCCTTATATAGAAAGATTGTAGGAATTGTACAATCCTTACAATCCTTATATGAAAAGGATTGTAGGGATTGTAAGGATTGTACAATCCTCACAATTCGTATGGAAGGATTGTAAGGATTGTACAATCCTTACAATTCTGTTGGAGTGTCTGACCCTTGGTAACTTTAAACTAGGATGTGCAAGTAAAGCAAATCCAAAACGCCTTTTGAAAAATTAAAAAAATTAATTTTTGATAAGATTAGCCAAGTGATTTTGCAGAATATCTCCATCTATCGAAAATTCCAAAAAATTTACATTTACAATCTATTAAGATCGTTGTTTTTTTGCTTATCTTTAATTGTGAGAACTTGATTCAATATTTCCTAGAATAGTAAAAAATTCTATTAAGGGAATTTCCTTTAAATAGCACAAGTCCACTTCTAACTCATTCAAATATGTTTCTTTACTTTTCTAGCAGCTAATAAGATCACCGAGAGAATATGGGATTTTTCTAATTATTTATCCGCACGAACTCATTACAATTTTTTTAATACTTAAAATGAATCAACATGAAAAAAAATAATAAAATGTGAAATTAAAATGTACTAAAAAGAATCTTTTCATAATTGGATTCATGTGATTAATTTCGTGACTAATTAGTCTTATTAGGATGATTAAAATATTTTAATTCTTAACAAATAAAAAAATACATCACTTTCTAACATCTGGATCTCAAAAATTTAAACAATGTGTGAACTGATAAATTAGTTTAAAAAATGGTTTTTGAATATTATATAATCATATATATTCTCTAAAAGAAGGAGTATGAAAATTGTTAAAACAAACAAATAATTATGAAAAATTTATTGCGAGAAATGCCACTTAATTTATATAAAACATGAACTTGAAATTTTTAAACTGAATTACTGATGCATCTGTTAAGGAAAATAATTTATTTGAGGTCATTGTTTCACAACGTTCCTATTGATCAGAAATATTAACTACTATAATTTCATTTTGCCTATGTCAATCTTACTTAATAAGAGTCTATTTTTATATTAAAACAACTTTGATATTTTTTTGTTTTTTTGTGCCTAAATTGTTCAAAAAACGGTGATTATTAAACTTTTTAAAAACAATCTATAGCTTATGTTAATATAATTAAAAAAAAATAATTCATTGTCCACGGCATACTTTTTTTACGACACATCAGCTGATTAGCGAAAATGCCTTTAAAAATTTATAAGAATGACCTTGTGCATTCGAGAAGAGCATCTTTGCACAAATTAATAATGTTTATTGACTTGCTAAAATGAGTGAATGACCTAATGTGTCATTCCGACCATAGACAAGATGAATATCATACAAATATTTAAAAATGTATAATTCTAAAATAAACTTAATTTAAAACTATTTAAAGGTCTGGGAATTTCCGCTTCTAAGAAGTAATTTAAATTTTTTCACGAAAAAATGGATCCATCAGACTAAGTCAGTAGATCTTGCAAAAAATAAGGAAATTCCTCCTTGATATCACATGTCAATAATCATTCAGTGAAAACCGACAAGTCAGTATATTTTGCATTTTTATCTATATGTTTTGCTTACAAGTGAGTTATAAAAGCTCAAATGATTGGTTTTCTCCGCTCATTTGTAAAATATCTTTTGAAGTGTGAAGATCGTTGAAAACTTTATAATAATAATATCAAGTAAATCAATAATGAAAGAAACAAATGCTGAAAAATTTGAAGGACATTAAAAAAGATTTTTTGAAACCTTAAAATAATTTTAAGAAGTGATATAAATTGTGCATAATTTTTAAGTGTTAAAACAAAATGAAATCTGCTACTAAAGTTCTACAAAATTGTAAGAAAAAATAAAAATTTAAATATTTCAAAGCTTTTAATAATTATGAAATTTTTTTGATAGCTATCAGCTGGATACCGGCCAGATTTATTCTTGTTTTTATGGGCGGTTTTGCAGTCATAAATGCAGTAAGTAAGAAAATAGCGTGATCTAAAATTTAAGTACTTGGAGTAAAAAATTAAGAACTTTTATAATTTATAAACTGAGTTTTATGATAAAATAATTTTACTGGTTTGTAAAAATTGTTCGAAATTAAAAGTTGATAAATGAAGTTTTTAAGCAAAAATTGAGGAGCCACGTAGATCCAAAACCTTGAAAATTTTATAAGAAAACATTTTCAAAATGCTGGTTGATCCTTTTAGATTTTTTTTTTTTACTTTTTATTTTTATTGGGTGTTAGATCTAAAGTTTTAATCAGTAATAAGAAATATATATATATTTTTTTTATTAATCAAACTTCATAAAGTATACAATGAGAAATGTTCTTAGCATTGCTATAACAGAAATGACATATCGGGAAGCCAAAAATCTTTCAGTTTTTGATGATACATGCCCGACAGAAGATGAACAATTTTCAAAAGAAATACATGGATACGAATGGTCAGAACAGTATCAAGGTGTAATATTAGGCGCATTTTATTGGGGTGAGATATTTCATGCAAAATGATTTCGTATATAAATTTTTAATTAATTCATATTTCGCATGAAGGTTACACACTTCTTCATATACCTGGAGCAATTTTATCTGCAGAATATGGTGGAAAATATACATTGTCTATAGGAATTTTGTCGACAGCAATTCTAACTTTGCTGACGCCTCTTACTATTCAATATGGTCGGTAAAATTTTAATCTGTTATGTTGAAGTTGAAGAAAAAGTTTTACAAAATTTAAATAGGCGGAGCTGGGTGGCTTATTGCATTACGAGTTCTAGAGGGTTTTGGTGAAGGAACAACATTTCCGGCTTTAAATACTTTACTATCAGCTTGGATTCCTTTAAAAGGTTTGCGAAAATAAAAGTTGATTAGGATTAATCATCAAAAACTATTACAAACCATTTCAGAACGTGCGAAGGCCGCAGCATTTGTTTACGGTGGTGCTCAGGTAAATGAACTTTTATTTTCAATTTTTAATAAGCAAATTTATATCATTTTACAATTTAAAAGATTGGAAACATTTTAACGCATCTTATTTCGGGATTATTGATTGATCACTACAAAGGCTGGTCATCACCTTTTTATTTTTTCGGAACTGTTGCGGTTACGTGGTTCGTGCTGTTTGTAAGTATATTGAATATTTTACTTCACATGGGTTTAAATATTGCGAAGGACCAAACTAATTCGTAAGAAATAGAAATAGCAAAAAGTTGTTTTCTATCCAATTTTTAATCAAAAAGACTGTCTACATCTCAAAATGTCGTTTTGATCGCTTAAATGAAGCATCTAAGAATTTACAAAGTTGACTATTTGATCAAAAATCCTATCACACATAGGATATCACACAAAATAGATAAAACTTTTTCATGTCTATACGGGTTTTCCACGCGTTTGAGTGTGTGACATTTGAACTATTCTCGTCTATATTTAACACATTATTGATGAATAATTTAGCATATATATTTTAGTATGAAACATTATAGATTTTAGACATATGAATTTCATTAACAAAAACAACTTTTTAAATTTAGGAATTTTTATGCTATAAAGACCCAGAATCACATCCGTTTATAAGTGACAAAGAAAAAAGTTATTTGAAAAAGGAGCTTAATCAGCTATCAAGAGATAAAGCAATTAAAAAGACACCATGGTTAAAAATTTGCACAAGCGTCCCTATGATAGCACTGTAAGTTTTGAATTTAATAGTTTTAAATGTGAAATAATTAATGATAATCTAATTTCAGAGTTGTTGCTCAACTTGGTCACTCCTTTGGATATTTTACTGTGGTTACAGATCTTCCTAAATACATGGCTGATGTTCTGAAATTTAAGATTAAGGAAAATGGTTTATATTCAACGCTTCCTTATGTTGCTATGTGGATAATGTCTATAATTTTTGGAACTATCAGTGACTGGATGTTAACAAAAAAATGGATCAGTCTAACAAATTCAAGGAAACTATTCACAACCTTCTCATTCACAGTGCCTGGTGTGTTTCTAGTTGTTGCATCATTTAGTGGATGCGATAGAATGCAAGCAGTTTTAATGTTCACAGTTGCCATGGGTTTTATGGGAGCTTATTATTCAGGAATGAAAGCAAATAATTTAGATTTGAGTCCAAACTTTGCAGGAGCAATCATGGCAATAACAAATGGAATCGGAGCTATAATAGGAATAATAAATGTAAGAATTTTTTTAATATGCTTTGTACAAAAATTAAAAATTATTTTAAAATTTTATAGCCTTACATTATTGGATTGATAACACCAAATCGTACAATTTCTGAATGGCGAAACGTATTTTATATTTCATGTGGATTTCTTACATTTACAAATATTGTTTACATTATTTGGGGCTCAGCTGAAAAACAGCCTTGGGACACTCCAGAAGAAATTAGATCAATTGAAAATGTTGAAACCGAAATGAACAGAGTTGAAAATGAGACTGAAGAAAATAATAAAACATAATTTGCATTTGATATTAATTGAGGAGCAAATGGTTCTGTTTGTACATAAGAATTCAAGAGTGTCATAATTGTCATAACTGATTTCAAAAAATTATTTTAATTGTTTAAATTAGTGTAAAAAAACTGATTTTTTTTATTGTCGGTTTCAAAACTAGTAATAAATGCTTCCAATATCACTTAACAATTTTTGAACCTACAAAGTTGATTAAAACTTGAAAATTTGAAAATCAATGGAAATTTTTGTGAAAATTTTTGAGACAATCTTTAGAAGAATCAAGCAAAAGATAGTAAAATATTGCTTTTATTACTTTACAAAGTAAGATCAAATACAATTTAAAACGTAAATTTAAAACTTAAATATTTGTTATTAAATTGAAATAACAATAAAAGGAAGTCAAAAGTAAATAAGCAGCTTAAAAAGTACTTGTTATTCGATGTAAGTTTCAAAAACAAAACAAACAGAAATATTAAGTTTATAATAATTATCAATGTAGTTTCTACATTAAAGTATTGTTTTTAAGGTGCTTGAAAAAAATTACACTCTGTGGATCAATGAATGATTAAATGAATGAATGGGTGATGTATAGAAATGAAAAATATGTGTGCGCTTGCACGTGTGTATTTTTAGTTTATTATGTGGTTCATTATTATTATTTGCTTTAGTGTTAAAATTTCACTAATATAAAAAATTTTATTCTACATTCAACTTGATAGTATCGTATCATACTAATGTTATGTGATTATTAGTATATATATATATAGTGTTTTTTTTCTTTTTTAAGTATCTCCGATATACGAAAGTGAAATGAATAAAGAACGAAGAGAGAAATGATTCAATAAGAAGACAAAGAATTGTGTGTAAGATCATAAAATCGAAAGTAGCTTGTATATTACATATAAAGAAGGAGATGTAAAGACAGACGGAAAAAGCGTGAAGAAAAAAGAATCAATTTCGAATCAAATACAACATAATCAGAACGTATACGCATAGTAAAGTTAATTGTTTTGTGTTGAACGCAAACACATGATACACAAAAAAAAAATGCTACATTAGTTGTATCTTTCATTAAAGTGATGAGCATGGCACATAAACAGTATAGAACAATAATACAATACGTTTATTTGTGCACATATTTGTATGTTCTCAATGTTCGTAAATTCACTAAACACTTAGTTCATGTATCTACCAATAAAAGTAAACTTAATAAAATGTGGAAACAACCACCGAAAAAGAAAATTCAACAGCAAGTGTTGCTGTAAAAAAGCGAAACAGAAGTAAAAATTTGCTTCAAATACACTAATTTTTTTAATAATATACATATGTATGATGTAAGTCACTAGGCTCCCATAAGAAACGGCACGTTCATATACACGCGATGGCAAAACGAGTCGATGTGACGGGCCTCTGTGTAGAGGTGCGAGATTTTGCTCTCTCTTTGTCTGTGTCTCGGAAGAATTTCATCGAACAGCACAAAAAATGAAAATTTCATCTAAACACATCTATAAACATCATTAATACATGGAGAGCGCACAAAGGGATGCGTTTTTTTTCTGTGTACACATACCGCATTTCTCCACCATCACACAACATGGCCATCATCGATACTGTTGTAGAAAAAAAGAAAGAAAATGAAAAAATATATACACTAAGCATCATAAAATCATGTTTTTGTATGCTTTCCATTTTATCTATGTGAAAAAAGTTCCATTCTGCTTTCATACATGTATCTGATATCTCCTAAACACATGTTCTGTTAAAATACTGTTTATTACTTTTAAGCTTACTGTTCAAACAATTAATTATTAATTTCTTTTTAAATCTTATAGAAAAAAATAATTAAAAAAGAAAAAAATAAAATTCGATTTTCTGGAACGAAAAATATCAGAAATGATAGAATTTACATATATATATATACAACCCCACTACTTCTATTGAAGAAGAAATAAGTCCTGATAGGCTTTTCGTGAAGTTGTTTGTGTGCTTTTCCTATATGTATTTGGAAAAAAAATATTTTAATAAAATGTGCGTATGAAAAATTCATTTGAGACTTTCGTCAATTGTCAATCGTCAAGTATAAGGAGCAAATCGGAAACAGAGCAAAGATCAGTAAGCGCCTGCTGTATGTTTCACAATTTTGCAAACATAAGCTAAATAATGTTATGGAACTTATTGATGTTTGTGTGACTTATAGCAAATTATTTGATGTATGCAGCAGCTATGAAATTGAGACACAATTTAATGGCGAGCACTGTTCAAAACAATTTTTATGAATATGCTTTCATGTTTAATTTATCTTCTTTTATTAATAAGCACGTTAATAAAGATAAATTTTTTAACCAATTTCTTTCTGTAACTCTTTTATAATTGTTTTACAGCTCTCATTTAATATATTCAGAATATCAGCACGTGAGAACTTTTCAATGAAAATTTAAATAACTTTTTAATATAAATCGCTGTTACTGAGTGTTGTGTTCTTTATGGATTATTGATATTTAAGCTAATTATGTGCTTTTTTTCTTACACTTTTTTATGGATCTACAAAATCATTTTTTATTATCAGAATTCATAAAATATTTTATTCACAGCAATAATTCTCAATTTTACAATACAGATCCGATATTAAATAGACCTTTTTGTACAGTTTTCTTCCGTTTTTTGATCTAAAGCTTTTGATTTTCTACATTAATCCAATTTGGGTAGCTTTTTTCCTGATTTTGTGACGTCTTTGTGTCGATATCATAAAGTTTTCTTGTGTTGTCATTTATGATCTTTACGACTTTACCTCCTATTCTTTTTTGTGGCTTTCTATAATATTAATTTCCTTCGAAGAAGTTTTCTTTAGAGTAGCTTCTAATTTTTTCTCATCCACAACTTGTGAACAAACTTTTATCAATTACTTTACTTTATCAATTAAAATTAAGCAGTTAAGTGCCTTGCTGTTCGAATAGGTAAGGCGCTTGGCTCAAATTTGGGATGGTAACTCGAAGATCGTCGGTTCGAATCCAGCCATTTCCAAATTTGTTCTTTTTCGGAAGTTTAGATACTTCGACTGTTAGGAGATCAAGCCATAATTGGGCATTTGGGCAACGCTGGATTAAGGAACAGGTCAGGAACTTGAAGTGTAACGGGAGAAATAGGAACGAGAACTCCAAGATTACTTAGGAATGGAATATTGTTAGAACGGACCTGAGAAGTATCACGTCACGCCTACAGAAGATCGAAACGAGAGCCTTAGTTTATTTGAAACCTTTATTTGAAGATTAGAAGTTTGATCCGTCATAATGTTAATTCATATTTATACAAATACGAAAGTGTAAAATGTGAATTGTTACCGGACAGTATGGCGTCAATTAATGCAATAAAGTGCAATTAAAGTGATGTAATTTATTAATCATTTTGAACTTTGATTATGAAACTTCGACATTAATTTCCGTTAAAATAAACTTGCAGCAAGGCGTGGAAACTATCCCAAATATTCCATTTATCCCAAATATCCCAAAAACATCCAAAATAATCCATGAGCCTGTATGCATGATAATAAAGAATCCTAACGAATCCTTAGTGTATTGGACATTTAATCTTGGGATTCGATGGGATATCTCAATTTTAATACACAGGCTCAGAGATTATTTTGGATATTTGGGATAAATGAGATATTTAGGATAGTTTCCACGCCTTGACTTGCAGGCAGCAAATAAGCAGAAATTAATTAAACGTTTAAACCGAAAGTTGCATAAAAAAAAACAACTAGCAAACTTTGAAAAAAATTCACCTCATTTTAAAATTTCAACAAAAAAAGTAATCATCAACCGAAAATGTTTACGGAAATAACAATGGAAATGTCAACAGAAATATCCTAAAACTATACCACCAGCTATGGAAACACTTACAAATCGAAAATTAAAGTAAATCAGCAATATGTGAAGTAGTCGTTCTGAATCAACTATGATAACCATAATTGATAGTGCGCAAGGGCGTTTCGCAACTAATGAGAGTTTAACGAGTGAGGATGCGCCAAACCAATGCACTCAAACCCAGACCAACAGTTTATGGTGGGATTCAAACAACTTCTTTGATGACATTTCTGCATGTAACATACAAAGGAAGGCTGTGAGTATATCATTCCAGTACATATAATTCGAAAGAGGACAAGTGAAAAATCCCATACCCAATCCCATACGATAGCTGTGGATTCATTCTGTCACTGAGCCACTTCATTTCTTTACCATTTATTAAGACTAATCGTACATTCCTGAAATGTTGTGATAGGTGTTAAGAAAATTTACGAAGTGGAATAGCTGATTGGAATTTGAAATATTTTTACAGATGATTTAAAAGTTTTCACATCAACAAATTGTATAAGTTAAAAGCAACATAACTTTAAAGCTTGATAAAAGATTTAGCGACAGTATGAATTATCAACGGATCATTGGAGATGTTTACAATACTTCGTGAACGTTTTGACAAATTTATCACTTGGAAATAGCTGTAAACTCACTGTAAGTACACATGTACTCTCTTGACATCTGCAAAGACAGATTTGAAAATGTTGTTTAATGGAACAGATCTTCAAATAATATGTTCGGCCCATCGAAGCATGTTCACTTCAATGTGTCTTACAATATCAGTTTCTCTGAACATCTGAGATAGTTCTGTATTGCTTATATATTTGAGAAGGATGTTCATATTGAAAGACTCAGCACCATGCAGCGCTATTGCGTAAATTAGCGTCGTCTAAAAAATTGTCAATTTAGCATTTTTGAAAACTTTTCTGGCGTAAAATAGACCTGAGAACAAGACCAGGTGCCTTATAATTCTGAAGGGCGCTTATTGCTGCTTCTACCTCATCTAATACCCTGTAGTTTCTCTAGATCTACAATTTTTGTATTTTCGATATGTTTTGGAAATTTTTTAACATAAGAGGCAACTCTTGCGCAATCAGCCTTGAAGTGGTATCTTTTGTGCCACATTTTCTTAGTTCTAGACTTTATAATTAAACTTGACTTATGGCCACTGAGGCTTTAACTTAATTGAACATAT